TGTGTGTGTGTGTGTGTGTGTGTGTGTGTGTGTGTGTGTGTGTGTGTGTGTATGTGTGTGTGTGCTTGTGTATGTGTGTGTGTGAATGTGCTTGTGTGTGTTTGTATGAATGTGTGTGTGTGTGTGTGTGTGTGTGTGTGTGTTTGTGTGTGTGTGTGTGTTTGTGAGGGAGTGAAGGTGTGTGAAGGTGTGTGAAGGTGTGTGAGGCTGTGTATTTGAAACTGTATTAGTGCTTTCATATCTAGTCAGTAAATATTGAGACTGAAAGTGAAACGATATCTTTAAAAAGCATCATAGAATCCTGCATTTTCCCTTGACTACTTACTCCGACTTTATGAATATGAGAGGTGGTCCTCTTTTCTGAATTAATACATTGTTGGAACTTATTTAAGAACGTTTTTTCACGTAAAGATGGTACTGCTTTCACACAGGCGGTGACCATCAATAGTGTTAGTATATTAACCTTGATAGTTAAAGTTTGCTTTATATCATGTGATATCTTAAGACTCTAGATTGTCACTTATGTCGTAGATCACTAACACTTATTTTGAATGGGTGGTGGATAAATAACATTTATCTTAATTAAAGCATTTTAAGGAATTTCCGAAAGGTTGAAGTGTTATCATTTCCTCCAAAACAGCCGCGCAAGAGATATCATGGTCCCATGACAACGGAAGATCAAGGTTACCCTGCTTTGAGGATTTTCAGGGGAAAGGTAAATACAGTGACCTTTAAAGTTAATAATTCTTTACAATTTTTCTATATTTCACATTCACCTCGTGCTTTTCTTAACCTGCAAATGGCATGAAGGCAGGTGGCCCTATGAAGTAGAATAAAAAACGATCATAAATAGGTAAAAATCAGTTTCAGTGCAGGTTAGAGAACCAACAGCCGACTACCCCTGAGATCTAACAGGGGAATGCAAAGAAGAAGAAGAAGAAGAAAAAGAAGAAGAAGAAGAAAAAGAAGAAGAAGAAGAGGAAGAAGAAGAAGAAGAAGAAGAAGAAGAAGAAGAAGAAGAAGAAGAAGAAGAAGAAGAA